GAAAGTCCTAGAGGCAGTTTGTATACGTATTCATAAGCCTGTTTTGTGTAAGCAAAAAGAGCACATTGTTGCACTGAAGTTGTATTCGTAGGTTGACACTTCGTTCAGTGCCTTCTCTCCTTTGGTTATGTAATCTTGTTACCCTTTTTTGCGTTTCCTCTAGTGGTTTTATTGCACTTGTATCTTGATGTTATTTCTAACACCTTTCTATTTACAGTACTTAACTTCAGTTTCTTTGGTTGTATCCTTAGTTCCGTTTTTTCCCACTGATGATAGGAACGAGAAAATCGATTCTGGGTTTTCAATAATATTTTTGTTATAAAATACACAGTAATACATGTCAAACAAGTAACGTAGTTGCGTGATGTCTGCGGCCTTCATCCTATTCATAGCTATATTAAAATAGAAAGGTGTTAGAAATAACATCAAGATACAAGTGCAATAAAACCACTAGAGGAAACGCAAAAAAGGTAACAAGATTACATAACCAAAGGCGAGAAGGCACTGAACGAAGTGTCAACCTACGAATACAAATTCAGTGCACCAACGTGCTCTTTCTGCTTACACAAAACAGGCTTATGAATACGTATACAAACTGCCTCAAGGACTTTCAACTGTTGGACATAACGCGCACGACACAGTACAGAAAAATGAGAGTCATCATACACACCAAGACAGTCAGGACGAGACAACAAGTGTAGATACACAGCTGGCTTCTTACGATCAACACATTCATCCGCCTCATCTCGCTCCTTCCCACCCGACTCCTCCTCGTCCATCTCATCGTCCTCTTCCTCGTTCCGCTCGTCATCCTCACGATCATCATCACTACCATCATCTGCCTCGTCCTCTGTCTCCTCACCAACCGTTTCGTCATCCAATTCCTCTTCCATCCTCTGATCATCCGTCTCATCCTCCGTTTCAGTACAGACCACTTGTCTCCCATTTGCTAGCTGCTCGTCCCGTGAGCGGAGTTGTTCCTCCAGATCCGCTTCACTCACTGACTCATGATACTGCTCGACCCTCCTCCTGTCGGTACTGTCCACAACGCGCGGTCCTTGGCCGTTTCTGGCATAGATCTCTGTGGAGTAGTTTGCTGTTGCCCTCTGAGGTCTCTGGATTAATGTGGGTGGCGTGGCAATTTGTGTGAGAGTTGGTGATGCCAGCGCGGGTGTAGGTGGGTCCACCCCAGCCCCCGCCACAAGAAGAGCCGGTGGCGGTTCTGGTGGTGGCAAGGGCAACGGTGGTGCTGCTGGAGTTGGCAACTTGGGCAGCCTAGCTCTCCCACACGGCACTGCATTCTGTGTTGGCTCAGTCTGTACCACTGGCACAGACCGCGCAAGAACCCACCCCCTGTGCCAGTGATACAGACTGAGCCAACACAGAATGCAGTGCCGTGTGGGAGAGCTAGGCTGCCCAAGTTGCCAACTCCAGCAGCACCACCGTTGCCCTTGCCACCACCAGAACCGCCACCGGCTCTTCTTGTGGCGGGGGCTGGGGTGGACCCACCTACACCCGCGCTGGCATCACCAACTCTCACACGAATTGCCACGCCGCCCACATTAATCCAGAGACCTCGGAGAGCAACAGCAAACTACTCCACAGAGATTTATGCCAGAAACGGCCAAGGACCGCGCGTTGTGGACAGTACCGACAGGAGGAGGGTCGAGCAGTATCATGAGTCAGTGAGTGAAGCGGATCTGGAGGAACAACTCCGCTCACGGGACGAGCAGCTAGCAAATGGGAGACAAGTGGTCTGTACTGAAACGGAGGATGAGACGGATGATCAGAGGATGGAAGAGGAATTGGATGACGAAACGGTTGGTGAGGAGACAGAGGACGAGGCAGATGATGGTAGTGATGATGATCGTGAGGATGACGAGCGGAACGAGGAAGAGGACGATGAGATGGACGAGGAGGAGTCGGGTGGGAAGGAGCGAGATGAGGCGGATGAATGTGTTGATCGTAAGAAATCAGCTGTGTATCTACACTTGTTGTCTCGTCCTGACTGTCTTGGTGTGTATGATGACTCTCATTTTTCTGTACTGTGTCGTGCGCGTTATGTCCAACAGTTGAAAGTCCTTGAGGCAGTTTGTATACGTATGTAGGACTCAGTATAGAGTCCATGCACTATATGATGTCCAGCACCCTATATAGAGTCCATTGGTCCAAAATCCACTATACAGAGTCCAGGTGTCCACTCAGTTTTGATCAGCTTCATCCTGCCGCGCAATCCCCTATAAGGAGTACACTTTTTCTGCAAGTCCCCTATTCATGGTCCAGGAGTCCAGTTTATCCAGTCACGCCGTCCTGTGTGTTGTGCCCACAAGAGAACAAACACCTTTTCAGTTTTGCTTGCCTCGTGGCAGCGCATTCCTTTCTTCACTTCAGCCATGGCTGCCAGTAATCTGTCTCGAGGTAACCAAGGAGGATAAGGAGACGTTCAAAATCAAATCTGGAAAGCGTCTTGTGGTTCTCTGAAGACGTTTCATCAGTGCGCGGGATGAAAACAGAAATTGCAGAACGAGAAAAGTTCAGCACAGTTCAAATCTGACGAGTCAGGTACACTGACACTCTCTTTCGTTCGACGCACAAGGATCCCCTGTTTGGCTGGCCATTGCTGCCAGTAAGACGTTTGAACGGCATCAGAGCGAGGGATGAAAGCAGAAAGCGGAGAATGAGAAAAGATCAGCACAGTTCCAATCTGACGAGTCAGATACACTGACGCTCTCTTTCGTTCGACGCCACAAGGATACCCTGTTTGACTGGACAAGAGCTGCCTGTACCACCGTGTCAAAAGGCTGTCCAACTACATGGCAGGACGATGACTGAGGTAAGGAAGCTTTTACTCGTTTCGATTGGTCTGCTGTTCTGTCGTTATGCTTAAAAAATTTTCCATTTTCAAGGAGCGTATCGCGTTTGTTTGATATTGCTTGAATGAATGCCCTAAAAGTAATCAATCACTTCGTAATAGTCCTCAAGCAAGGACTGCAAGGACTTTGCATCAATCGTATACGATCGTCTAGCTATCATCAATTATTATTTTTATTTCATGAGAAATGTATTTTTTATCCCTATGATAATTATGTGAACTCCACGACACTCTTCCAGTACTAGGTTCTAATGTCAATGGGATCCATAAACGCAGTGCCAGTGTACTAGTCGTAGTGGCAGGAGGATTTCTTGTATGCCGATGACAAGAAAAAGCTTCTCAAGCTAATACATGTACTCGTATTCCATGAAGTAACCGCTTTGATGTCACAAACATGACACTGTGTCAGTGAAACTGCCTCGTCACAACAAATCATTGCATTTCCATCTTGGGGAAGACTGACTGACGGCAACGCTGTACAGATTGTTCAAATCATCTCATTTCAATTTAGTTGCAGTGAAGTGAAACACTGTGTTCACTACATGTATGGTAGTGTGTCTGTGCGTCTTGAGTGTGCACAAACGATCTTATTCCTCGTATTACTAATAGATTATTGTCCCCACCGTCACCTGTTCTCAGGTCTTTGAGTGGATGGATTTTCATTGAGCATCACATTCGTTGAGAACTTGGTAGTTGTGTGCTCCCATGCATCATTACGGTAATAAGCGTATCCTTGTGCTATCTATTTGTTGCAGGTGTGCTGATCTTCAGAAGCTTGCGGAACTGAGTGCTGCTGAACATTTGCATGGCCATGAGCAATGGTGAAGCTTGCTATTGCAGTCTCAGCATGTGCTAGTATTATGCTGACTACTGCACTATGCTACTCTCTTACACTACTACATGTATGTAAACGTGCGTGCATCCGCCCACGTATGCATTCGTTTCGTATAATTATTTGTTATCCCTCTTGACTTTACGTGTAAATGGGTGGACGTTTGCATGGCTGTTGGAGTTGCATGTGTATTTTGTCTCTACTCTTTTCTTGGTGTTTTCTTGGCGTTGTATAAGTTTGTGTGTGTGTGTGTGCCCGCGCGCACAATAATTTGAAAACAAATAATTAATCCTTGGCTCTCCATTATTCTCTTTCGATTCTTGGTTTTTCTAGGTATTTTCTTGGCGTTGTGTGGGTGTGTGCATGTGTGTGTGCGTGCACAATAATTTGGCAACACTACATGATTGAGATATTGTAATTTGCAGCGTCTGCGAAGAGACCACTTGATTCGAGGATGGTGTTTGTAGGGTTTTTCATGTAATGAAGTGGCTGCAGTGGCGCCTCAATACTTATTTTTTTATCTTGAGAAGTGAATGATGTAAAGGATTAAAGGGAGAGGCCGTTTTCTGGTTAATATTCACTGGTTACAGCAGATCCTATGTATAATTTCGAACTCTGGATAGGGGATGCCTTATTGGCTGGACTTTATCCCCGGGAGTATTGTCCACATAAAGACTCTTCATAGTTGATTTCAAAGTTTGGACTCCGTACAGTTGATTTTGGACCAATGGACTCTATATAGGGGTGAAGCCAATTGGCTGGACTCTATACAGGGAGTGATGTCCATCTAAACTTTGAGCTCACAGTTGGTTCCAAGTTTGGACTCTGTACAGTGGATTTTGGACCAATGGACTCTACATAGGGGTTGGACATCATATAGGGGCTGGACGCTCTACTGAGTCCAACACGTATTCATAAGCCTGTTTTGTGTAAGCAGAAAGAGCACGTTGTTGCACTGAAGTTGTATTCGTAGGTTGACACTTCGTTCAGTGCCTTCTCGCCTTTGGTTATGTAATCTTGTTACCTTTTTTAGCGTTTCCTCTAGTGGTTTTATTGCACTTGTATCTTGATGTTATTTCTAACACCTTTCTATTTACAGTACTTAACTTCAGTTTCTTTGGTTGTATCCTTAGTTCCGTACTTTTCCCACTGATGATAGGAACGAGAAAATCGATTCTGGGTTTTCAATCATATTATTTGTTATAAAATACACAGTAATACATGTCAAACAAGTAACGTAGTTGTTTGATATTAATTTTATTGTTAGATATTCAACTTGTGCTTTTGCTCGTGCAGTGTCGGCTCAAACTCTAGCTGGCACGTCGTCATTGAGCCAACCGATACTCTACGTCATGTTCACTGTACCGGTAGCCGCGTAAGTTACTGATCGTGTGTGTGTGTGTGTGTGTGTGTACGTGTGTGTGTGTGTGTGTGTGTGTGTGTGTGTGCGTGTATGTGTGTGTGTATGTGCGTGTTTGTGTGTGTGTGTGTGTGTGTGTGTATGTGTTTGTGTGTGTGTGTGTGTGTGTGTGTATGTGTGTGAGTAAGGAGGAGGGTTATAGCAAAATGAGTTGTATTGTGTGCGTGTGTGTATGTGCGTACATGCATGTGTGTGTGTGTGCATGCGTGTACGTGTGCGTGTGTGTGTGTGGGGGGGGGGGGGGGGGGGGTGCGCAAGTGTGTGCATGCATGCTAGCATGTGTTGAATTCGTTATTACCTGCTAAAGATTAGTTAACAACCACACAAGCCGACCTGTTTGGGAGCTATTACGCGTTGTATTATCAGGGCATAGGCAACAATTGCCGCATGCAGTATGCAATACTATGGACCAATGCCGTAGTATCGCAGGCAACAATTGCCGCATGCAGTATGCAATACTATGGACCAATGCCGTAGTATCGCAGGCAACAATTGCCGCATGCAGTATGCAATACTATGGACCAATGCCGTAGTATCGCAAGCACCAATGTGCGTTAGACTGGCCAATGCCAGGGCTAATGGGGGCAACAATTGCCCGGCGTGTCAATACACGCATACGGTAGGGATGCACTTGTGAGCACATGTAGGCGCACTTGGCTCAATGCCGGCCTGACCCACGATCCCTACCGTTCTCCCTTCCGGGATGGCTTAGAATAGAATGATGGTTAGAGATGATGGGGTGGGTGGTGGTGCTCAAAAACTGGCCAAGGTTGTCAAGCGATCTGACTGTTGGCGCAGCAAGGATGAAGAAGAAGCAGCATCGAGAGCCGGAGTAATGCGCATGCTCCGCGTGGTCCCGTGCCGGGGCGCGGGAGTTCGGAGTGCGTGTTCTGCACGGGCACGTGATGCGCTATGGCAAGTACGTGCAAATTATGTTAGGAATGTAATTGTTGGTGGGTTGCTAACTTCACTTACCGTGCCATGCACGGAAACTTATATTTAACAACCACACAAGCCGACCTGTTTGGGAGCTATTACGCGTTGTATTATCAGGGCATAGGCAACAATTGCCGCATGCAGTATGCAATACTATGGACCAATGCCGTAGTATCGCAGGCAACAATTGCCGCATGCAGTATGCAATACTATGGACCAATGCCGTAGTATCGCAGGCAACAATTGCCGCATGCAGTATGCAATACTATGGACCAATGCCGTAGTATCGCAAGCACCAATGTGCGTTAGACTGGCCAATGCCAGGGCTAATGGGGGCAACAATTGCCCGGCGTGTCAATACACGCATACGGTAGGGATGCACTTGTGAGCACATGTAGGCGCACTTGGCTCAATGCCGGCCTGACCCACGATCCCTACCGTTCTCCCAAAATACAACATGACCCAAACAGGAATTATCGGCATTACTATAGTTATAGTAGCGTTACTATAGTTATAGTATAATAGGTATATCATATGTACACTACAGCTGTTGCTAGGGCCGTCCAATGCGGCTACCCATTAGCATAACGGGCAGAGACTAGAACAATGCCGCTGGCAATGCTCTGTCTGCGACAGGGGTGCGGACATAGCGGAGGTAGGCAGAGCTTTGCCACCTGCCGGCGGTCTTCAGCACGTACTCAGGCACGCCAGCTTTGCCTGCCAGCGTTGCAGCGCCTCGTCTGAGGCTGTGGCTGCGCACGTCTTTGTTAGGCAAGGCTGTTTGTAGTAGCCTGTTGATGTTATGCGGCTTCAGGGGCGTGCCGTCATCATAGCGTTAGAGCGGGCCAGGTGCCGAGCCACGGGCTGCTAGGTAGCTGGTGGCTGCCGTGTGCGGGCATGTCGGCGAGCCTGTCCTCCTGACGCTAATGTCCTGGCCGCTGCCGTATTGGCTCGTCTTTGTCACACGCAGGCGCAGCTCCACGCGGTCTGGGTACATGGTCGCATCGCTGTACTCAAGGCCGGCGCCCCGTGCCGTGAAGGTGTACTCGTTGACTCTGAGCAGCCCGTGGAAGGCCAGAGTCACGGCGCTCCAGAGCATGGCGCGGTTGTGCGGGCTAGGCACGGTGGACTGCAGGTAGTGCTGTACGCCAGCCAGATCGTCCAAAGTTGCGGCCCGCGTCGTCAACTGCTGAAGGGTGGACTGCGCTGGTTGTGTCGGCACTGCGTCGGCAGTTGGGCTGCGAGTCCAGAAGCGTCGACAACCTGACCCAAACAGGATTTATCTACATTACTATTACACTACAATTGATGTGAGTGCCGTCCAATGCGGCTGCCCATTAGCATAGTGGGCAATGCGCTCAACGTACCGGATATGGAACAATGCTGCTGGCACTGATCAGTCACTGGGTATGGCTTGCCCTAGTGCGGGGTGACAAGCGTTCGGAGCGCTGCAGCGAAGCGTATGTTGTGCTGGAGCTGCCCGCCAGGCCCTGGCGGATGAGGTCCCTGGTTGCGTCATCAACTGCTGAAGGGTGGACTGCGCTGGTTGTGCCGGCACCGCTTCGGCAGTTGGGCTGCAAGTCCAGGCGCGCTGACAACCGGACCCAGACAGGATTTATCTGCATTACTATTACACTGCAATTTATGTGAGTGCCGTCCAATGCGGCTGCCCATTAGCATAGTGGGCGATGTGCTCGAAGTACAGGATCTGGAACAATGCTGCCGGCACTGATCAGTCCCTGAGGTTGGCTTGCCCTGGCGCAGGGCGACAAGCGTTCGGAGTGCTGCGGCGAAGCGCATGCCATGCTGGAGCTGTCCGCCAGGCCCTGGCGGATGAGGTCCATGGTTGCGTCGTCAACTGCTGGAGGGTGGACTGCGCTGGTTGTGTCGGCACCACTTCGGCAGTTGGGATGCGAGTCCGGCAGCGCTATCAACCTGACCCAAACAGGATTTATCTGCATTACTATTACACTGCATTTGATGTGAGTGCCGTCCAATGCGGCTAGCCATTAGCACAGTGGGCAATGCACTCAAAGTACAGGATCTGGAACAATGCTGCCGGCACTGATCAGTCCCTGAGTGTGGCTTGCCCTGGCGCAGGGCGACAAGTGTTCGGAGCGCGGCAGCGAAGCGCATGTTATGCTGGAACTGGCCGCCAGGCCCTGGCGGATGAGGTCCATGGCTGCGTCGTCAACTGCTGGAGGGTGGACTGTGCAGGGTGTGTCAGCACTGCGTCGGTAGATGGGCTGAGAGTCCGGAAGCGCTGTACTCGAAGACGAGTAAGAGACTTAGCAGGATCATTGCAGAGTCACCGTTGGGCTGAGAGTCCACATCAGCCGGTCTGTTGAACGGAAGGGGGAGGATCTAAGGCCAAATGGTGGTGCCTTATCTACATGGTACGAACCTTCCAAAAAATGCCAAGCCGGGGCCAGACATGAGGGGAAACAGACCAAAGCCGCCAGGCATACTTCGTGTCAGCTTTAGCATGTGTTTAGAGAGGAGAGCTCAGCATCAGGGACCTAAATTTCCGAGCCATCTTCAAGATTATGGGCTGGTGCGAAAACAGCTCCGGGGGCCCTGGAGGGGTGTGCTGCTGCGTCAGTCGCACAATACGTGCTCCAAGCGTCGCGAACCTCCTCCCGACTAAAGTCTCCCAGGCCAGGGATGGGGCTGCAGTTGCCTCGGCTAGGTTCTGCTCCGCTGCCGGAGCGGCCAAGTCCTCGCGTACAGTAGTCTGGAGCCAACTTCAACTCGAGCAGGCGAGTCCGCGGAGTAGGTTTTGTTCCTGTCGGGTCTAAATAATTGCGGGATGCCAGTGCGTTTCGCAGCTCAGCAGAGCGCATTTTGGCTGGACATCGCTCACTGACAGAGACATGGTTGATCGGATATTGATCAGAAACTGGCCGCGATTGTCAAACAATTTGACCGTCAAGGCAGCAAAGCAAAGAGCGTTATGGCTGGACATCGCTCACTGGCAGAGACATGGTTGATCGGATATTGATCAGAAACTGGCCGCGACTGTCAAACAATTTGACCGTCACTGCGTCAGCGCAGCAAAGCAAACGGAGCGTTTTGGCTGGACATCGCTCACTGACAGAGACCTGGTTGATCGGATATTGATCAGAAACTGGCCGCGATTGTCAAACAATTTGACCGTCAAGGCAGCAAAGCAAAGAGCGTTATGGCTGGACATCGCTCACTGACAGAGACATGGTTGATAGGATATTGATCAGAAACTGGCCGCGACTGTCAAACAATTTGACCGTCACTGCGTCAGCGCAGCAAAGCAAACGGAGCGTTTTGGCTGGACATCGCTCACTGACAGAGACCTGGTTGATCGGATATTGATCAGAAACTGGCCGCGATAGTCAAACAATTTGACCGTCAGCACAGCAAAGCGAAGAGCAAGCTCAAAAACTGGCCAAGGTTGTCAAGCGATCTGACTGTTGGCGCAGCAAGGATGAAGAAGAAGCAGCATCGAGAGCCGGAGTAATGCGCATGCTCCGCGTGGTCCCGTGCCGGGGCGCGGGAGTTCGGAGTGCGTGTTCTGCACGGGCACGTGATGCGCTATGGCAAGTACGTGCAAATTATGTTAGGAATGTAATTGTTGGTGGGTTGCTAACTTCACTTACCGTGCCATGCACGGAAACTTATATTTCTTCTACACAATTCACGCCATTGCTTTCTCTGCCCCGCCTAACAGGCGGACCAAGAACGCTGCGTCTGGAGTCGCTATCTGCGAATACAACATTGACGGCATCCAGCCAGGATCCGTGCAGGCGGCCTTTGCCCCGCCGATGACAGTCTACAACCCACAGAGCCGCGCTAACAGTTCATTTAACGGAGGACAGGTAAGAGGACAGGCGGTGGGCTAGGAGAATGGCCCCGGCCGCTGATATAGAAGTTGCGCGATTTCACTACACCATCAGCTGAGATGCCCACTTGGCGAGGTCGCGGCGCAGCGCTGCACTTGCACTAGCGACTAACGTTGCACCCATTCAAAAAAAAACTGCTGACCCACGCTCGTATACTTGTGTCCATTAAGGGGCCGTCCAAGGTTACCAATAATATTTTAAAAACGAAATGTTTTCGTTTGTGGGTGGGTGGGTTTGATGGAGTTTCGTTTTGAAAATAATTATTGAATGCTGATGGGGAATGCCCAGTTACTTCTCGGTGTCGAAAATTGACATCAATATTTTATTGGAATTCGTTTTACCTGCAGAAAAGGTGGGTGCTGAAAAATACTAAAACTTTTCGTTTTGTAAAAACAATCGGTAACCCCGGACGGCCCCTAAGAAATCTCACTCTTGGTTGTAAAGGTGTTGGAGAGATGACTGCCACTTCTTCATGCAGCTACAGTACAACCTTGTTTTCTTGCAGCGACCACAAGTACAGTAAAACCTGTGACTAACGGCCACCCCTTGGGGCCAGAGAAAGCGGTCTTTAGCGGCAGGTGGTCCTTAGTTCGAGGTTTGCACCGCACAACCATGAATGTGAGACCGTCCGTGCCTGGCGAAGTGGTCTGTAGTACCAGGCTTGTCACTAGTCACGGTGGTCTTTAGTTCCAGGTTTTACTGTAGCAGAAACCAGGTCGCCAAAAAATAATGAAACAAACTCCATTCCGCATGTGACCACGTAAGATTCTAGGTTTACCAGCCATATTAGCACGTAAGGCACGCTGTGCAGTCGTGTGTGCGTGTTTGGTTTGGTTTGGTTTTTATTGTTTCAGTTTGTTGCCTCAACAGTACAAAGTGCAAATGTCAACCGGGACGAACGTGTGTGTGTGTGTGTGTGTGTGTATTGCTATGACACAGCACTGTGCACTCGTCTGTTTGTGTTGCTATGACAAAGCTGTGCACTTGTGTTTTGTTGTTGCCATGACAACACTGTGCACTCGTGTGTTTGTGTTGCTATGACAGTGCTGTGCATTCGTATGTTTCTGTTTCCATGACAATGTAGTGTAAAGACAAGTTTTCAGAGGTTCTCACCGTCATACCGGAGATAACGCAGGTTGACAAAACGCCTGTCTTTTTCAGCGGCACTGACGTGTAAGCTGTCCTCCAAGTGTGTGTGTGTGTGTGTGTGTGTGTGTGTGTGTGTGTGTGTGCGTGTGTGTGTGCGTGTGTGTATGTGCATGTGTGTGGTTGTGCGTGCGTGTGATGTATAATGTGTCCATGTGCAGGCATATCTGTGCATGGTTTGTACACAAAATCTCATTAGCTTGCCAGCCATGACATAGCAGAAAAATGCAAGTACAGTGCAAGAAGAGAATTCCTGTATTTGAGAGAAGAAGAAGAATGTTGTTCTCTGTTGTGTTGTTTCAGGTATGTAGCAATGGCTATTGCCAACGTGAGATCACTCCATGGCGGTATCTACTTGTTGATCTACACTGCTGATGGTAAGACTTTGTGTGTGTGTGTGTGTGTGTGCGCGCGTGCGTGCGTGCGCGTGTGTGTGTGTGTGTGTGTGTGTTCTCTGCTCTGGTGGAGGACGATTGTACTTTTTCGGGCTCTTGTTTCTGGCCTCCGTCCGTGCTTGTTCTCGCCGTTGTGGGCGGCCTGGGGTGCCCCCAGCCGTCCAGGCCAACAGTGCCTGAGGTGGAGTATTCACCGACAGGAGATTTGGTCGGATAGTTACAATGCCGACGCTCTCCTCGTCGCCCCGACCTCGGAGTCCTTCGCGAGGCTTTGCAAGCCCGCGAGTGGAGCAAACTACCGCACGAAGACGACGACTTGGAACGACTCTGAGCGTTGGCTCATGGAATGTTCGCTCTGTTGTGGAGAGTGATGGACCACTTCTAGCGGCAGCCGTGAGAGGAATCGTTTCCGATGATAAGTCAGATCCATAGCTGCTGGAGATGGCTCTCTCGAACATGGTCCCGCTCGTCGTTCTATATTGTCGGCCCCGTAAGGGGACACGTGACCGTAATGGCAGTGTTTACCAGGACCAGGACCAGGTGTGTGTGTGTGTGTGTGTGTGTGTGTGTGTGTGTGTGCGCGCGTGTGTGCGTGCATGCGTGCGTGCGTGTGTTCGTGTCTGTCTGTGGGTGTGTCTGTGTCTGTGTGTCTTCAATCAGCTGTGTGGTGTAGACCGGGCTAGAATTAGTCGCGTTCAATTCATCAGCCTTGCAAGCTGTTGAATAGTGTCATCCCAGCACTAGTTGCTATATACAAGTAGCTATTCGTGATGGGCATGCCTAAGTCTGAGTCTGAGTGTGTGTGTGTGTGTGTGTGTGTGTGTGTGTGTGTGTGTGTGTGTGTGTGTGTGTGTGTGTGTGTATGCACATGCATGAGTATGTGTGTGTGGAGAGGAGGGGGGGGGGGGGATCCGTGGTTGTGTGCGTGCATGTGGGTGTGGATGCATGGCTGGGTGCTTGGGTGTGTATGGGTGTGTACAATACAGTACAGTACAGTACAGTATGGGTGTGTATAGGTGTGTATGGGTGTGTGAGTGGGTGGGTGAGCGGGTTTGCGTGCGAAAATTTCTCATCGTCAACTAGTAGAATTCTTTTGAAAACACCGAATGTGCACGCATAGAAAGTTTCTTGCTTGACGGTAAATGCTATTATGCTTTTTTAAAGTGTCTGCTAACCTTGACAATGGGGAAAGGCACCTTTTGCCCTGGCCACTTGAAATCATACCCGTGTGTGTGTGTGTGTGTGTGTACGTGTGTGTATGTGTTTGTGTATCGCGTATCCTTTTCACAGAAAACGGATACCTCACCAAGATAGTAAAGTCCAAAGTTTCTGGCGCAGTTGTCCTTGAACGGACTCTTGTCTTCGCTCCGGATACCGTATGTCGCCAATTGTGTGTGTGTACGTGTGCATGTGTGTAACCAACCAACCAACAAAAGACACCTTTGTTGGTTCCAGGGTTCATATACTTTCTATTTGAAGTATACATACCTGTTAACCATTGACTACTTCTGGCTCGATTAACTCTTGTGTAATCATGGTGCTAATGAAGCTTGTATCAGATCCACTCTGATTTAGCCACCCACACTAGTAGCAAGTATTACCTTCACTGAGGGCAGGGGTAACTGCAGTTGGATCCTGGGACGGATACCCTGATGCCGTCAGTCCTTTTTCTGCACCTTGTCCTCACCCACTTACTGAGGTGTGGTGAGCCCATAAGTGGGATCATTTTCAAGTCCACCCAGAGTTTTGGGGATTTCAGGGGGTGTCGGCCGTTGGGCGGTTCAATAGCCAATTGAGTAATCTTTCTAAGATTCCTTTTGAGTCTCTCTCCCCTCTCTCGGGGAGACCCACGTGACCAGTTTTGGCAGTGAGCAACAAGTAAGTAAGTAAGTAAGCATGTGTGTATGTGTGTATGTGTGTATGTGTGTTTCTGTCTGTATGTGTGTTTGTGTGTGTGTGTGTGTACGTGTGCACGTGTTTCTGTATGTATGTTTGTTTCTGTGTGTATGTGTGTGTGGGGTACATATGTGGGTGGGTGTGTGCGTTCATGCATGATCGCAGCTACTCGTGTCCTTCTGTGTTGGTGCTGCTGCTGCTGTTGCTGCTGCTGTTGTCGCTGCTGCTGTTGCTGTCGCTGCTGCTGTTGAATTGGCCTTTCTTCACCATTCATACTATATCTTTGATTCCTGGTGTTGTGTGTAATGTCTTGTTTAACATCTGCTTTAGGCAAGCAAAACATCAGTACAAATCACAAGTATCAAAATCGGAGAGTCTGTAAGTGGCGCCGGCCAAGGAGAAGCGATTTATTCTAGCTGGCCTTGTTGATGTGTCCGTGTGTGCATGTGCATCATCTCTTGTCGTCGGCGTGTATGTGTGTGTTTGTGTACGTCTTTGTGTTTGTGTGTTTGTGTGTATGTATGTGTGCGTATGTGCGTGTTCGCCAGTTCGGAGCACATTGATAATTCGAATCAATTTGTTCACATTTCTCGATGCTGCTACTCCTTGTTTAACTCATACTCGCCCGCACAGTGAAGAACATTCATACTAAAACTAGGGAAAAAGTCCAATCTTTGTGTCTGTGTGTGTTTTTGTGGGTGGGTGTATGTATGTGTGTGATGTATTTTGTGTGTGTGTGCATGTATTTGTGTGAGTGAGTGTGTGTGTGTGTGTGTGTGTGTGTGTCTCTGTAAATGTGTGTGTCTCTCTGTACATGTGTGTGTGTGTGTGTGTGTGTGTGTGTGTGTGTGTGTGTGTGTGTGTGCGGGCACGTGCACGCACGCGTGTACAGACGGTTACCAAGGACACGCTCGTCTACGTGCAGTCTGAAAGAGCCGTCGCCTCCATCCCAGTGCAGCACTGTGCAGACGCCAAGACGTGCGCCGCGTGCGTTGCAATGCGTGATCCCCTTTGCGGCTGGTCCCTTGTCGCGGGGATATGCAGTTCTGATGACTCGTAAGCACTGCTGCCCTCTACCCCGGGCCCCGGGATGGCCAGGTCTAGTAGGCATACTGTAAAACGACTAGTTTTAGCACCAGTGGTGTTTAACAATTTTAGCGAAAGGAGTTTTTTCGCTAACTTGTTGCCACGCCAATCGAAATTCTGCATGCACAGTACAGCATTAGTCATCTTCCTTCTTTAAACTCTGAATCTCGGATCGTTTTAATATTTCATCGCTGTGTATGTGTACGTCTTGCCTGCAGGTCTGCGCTACAGGACTTGTCGGGAACGACGATGCCATGCCCTTTGGGTGAGTCTGAGCATTGGACGTGGTGTCGCGTCGACTCCAGTAACTCCATGACGAGATGAGATGGACATGGGATAGAAGGTGGTGCATGCTGTGGTAAAATCACAGTTACGTTACCAAGACGACAAAAACCGGAGTGTGAATCTCCGCGTTCGAGTTCTAGGCAGTGGAATATATTTGTCATTCATGATAAGTCATGAATGCAGGCAGGCATAGTGGGATGGTCTAAGACCATGATTGAGAAACAGAGGGTACTAGGTACAAGTCCTGCTTTGAAGCGGAAGGAAGTTTTCCAGCCGTGCTGCGACACACAGTTAACTGGGAACTCGTGGCCTGGCACGAGGGTAACATGGATGCAGTGAATGGGATTTTCGGTCTTTGACCACTTTGTGGTGGGTCTGATCTACTCACCTCCCACCGTTTAGGCGCTGCATCTGCGCCTTGATCATAGAGGGTGGTGGCGTTCCCACGGCGGATGCGGAAAACTCGGCTTCCAGCCGAGTCTCACGCGAACCGTGAAATTTATTTTATATTTTATAAGTCATGAAAGGTCCGTTCCACATTTCCACTGCTAAACCGCATCAATGCAATTTGTGACATTAGTTTCCTTGTAGCTTGACGGCAAAATGCGCGACGTTCCAATAATCTGATATTGACAAACCTTGGCCAGCCCAGTTCAAATCTCTTTTTCCATAAATACAGCACCCTCTGGAATTGTCGGCCCTCTAAGATCACCTCCTTGACCAGTTTAACTACGAGCATTGGTTTCACTGCAGCCGAATTCCGTTAAATATGTAGCGTCACATTGTATTGCGTTTTTCTTTAGAGCCTTATCTCTGGCACACGTTTCATCATTTATTATCCCAGTTCTGCACGCTTACAATCAAATGTTCAAGCACAGAGCTCTGCTCTAGACTGTTTCGTCATCTCTTTCTTTGCTCACCTAATGCTCATCACTTCTTTTATAGATTTGGAAAAATTGATGGAAATGATGTACTAGCTTTCCCCGTAACTAGCCGTCCCGTGCGCAGTGGCGTAGCTCGTACGTATGTGCTGTAGTGGCCATGTACCGTATTTCCCCGATTATAAGTCGCACCTTTTTACATAAAAAACAGGGTAAAAAAGGGGGTGCGACTTACAATCGAGCTTGACTTACTACTGAAGTGAATATATCGCAACAATATTGCTCAAACCTGAAAACGGATGTGCGACTTATAATCGAGTACGACTTATATCAGGGGAAATACAGTACCACAGCACCTCTCTGGTGTGCTGTGGTGACCATGTACCACAGGCAACGTCGTACTCACCATTTCGCTTACTTTGACTATGTAGTACCCATGGCAACCATTTGCTGGCGTGGTGATCGGACTATGCTGACTACACACTAGCTATGCACGCCTGATGTGGGACTTCTGCCGTGCATGATTTCTTACCCGTTGTTTTTTTCTTCAGGTCCCATCAACTACACCCTGAACCAGCCGTTGGCGGCGGAGACCAGTAGAGACAGTATCATGCTCACTATCAGCGGTAGGTCCTCAGAGCCGGCCACCGGGTATGACAAACCGAGGTTTGACATCTACCAGAACGGCACCAAGATCGGAAGTAAGTTGTGTCGGGTGGGGGGGGGGGGGGGGGCAGGGATCAGCCATGCCTGTGTACTTAATTAACTCATCTCAGTAAAGCGATACATATGGTGGTAAAGCCACACCTGGCAATATGGCGATAAACACACGCCTGCTATATGGCGATAAACACACGCCTGCTATATGGCGGTAAACACGCGCCTGCCCACACACGCTCTCTAAGCTGCAAGGGTCTGGCACAGAGCTCTCCTTCTCACCACCACCACCATCAGTTCGCGCCTGGCGCCTCGTCGATGCATGGCGGTATCCGACATAGCAGGCTGGTACATCAAGTAGCACTGTGTCTTCAACTTCATTTTCGGTAAATCAGTTCAGTATAATCATGGTCGTTGGATATGGAATACTTCTCACACACAACAACGTGCTGTGTTTCAGGACCCTCCGTATCCGTTTCAGTAATTTGAACTTGGATATACAGCACCTTGGTTCTTGTGTCCCCTGGTTGTACATCGTACTACTCCGGAAAATCTGATCGAGTCACTCAAGTACGCGCCAGGAGTTGGCCAGCCCTAGACAAACAGCCACCTTCATTCCTTTCCCCAGGAGACTCCCTCTGATGGAGACTCCCTCTGATAGGCATCCATTTGCCTCTGGAGAATCCTTGAAAATATAATTATCATACCATATTAAACATACGGACACTGGGCTGCGAAATGGTGCAATGCGCCAACTTGACTCACGCGACTGGATTTCTTTCGTGCAGCACTGAACATTGTACTGAAGCTTCACTGTATTTCTCAATGGAGCGCGCCAGTCCCCCTGGATGCGTGCAAGCTTTGCGTCTTGCTCTGCGTTTCCACTGTGTTTGTATGTGTGTGTGTGTGTGTGTGTGTGTGTGTGTGTGTGTGTGTGTGTGTGTGTGTGTGTGTGTGTGTGTGTGTGTGTTGTCCCGTACTGCAGCGTCCCCACCAGGCAACTACACCTACCTGGTCAGCAGTCTTGATACGTACACTCCGTAAGAACCTGTACCGCCGCTGTGCTATCAGCAATGCTAGTGTGGAGTGGTTGCCGGTTTGGGGAAACGCATTCTCAGAACATGCCGTCTGCTGATTGGACAAGCTGCCCGGAATCCCGCATTGCCCGTCCCCGATTCCAACACTACTTGTCACACGCACGCACGCACGCACACACACGCACCTCCCCCCCCCCCCCCCCCACATGCACCCCCCCCCCCCCCACACACACACACATATACATCCACTTCGTTGTTACCATAACGACGGCCTGTGCAGGGCTGAAGTCTATGGGCCTGAGATAAAAGCGTCACGTTCTACTGACATGAAAAGTCGCTTTCTAACCATACAGTGATGTGTTCAGTCGATTCCTGATCCAGCGAGCACCATTGTGCAGGAGAATTCGTTCTTTAAAGTCGAAGTCCGTTATAACAGAAACACAACTACATAATGGGTTCAGGGATATGGACAATGGTTCGCTATATCAGGAAATTCGCTACATCCGAGTTCGTTATAAGTGGAGTCGACTGTATTCGTGTACCCAGGGTTGAGGACGAGCCACTTCCGTGCAAGAACCAATGCGTTCTCGTCTGTTTCCTGCTTTTGTGTGTGTGTGTTCTCTCAGTTATTCATTCTACGCCGTCCCCATCAACGGCCTCGGCGCGGGTAGCAGCACCAACACAGTGCGGGTGCGAACAAACGGATCGGTTCCCGGTGTTGCCGAGGTGGCGGCGTTTGCCCGCACTATTGCACAGACGCCGGTGAATCAGCTGCGGTGGTTGAGACCGGCCGCAAACGGCATTCTCTCCACATACACGGTACGTTCCCTTTACAACTAACAGCACCGTCCCCGACGATGCTGCCTGCTGATTGGTTGGCGTGTCCAGTCTCTCCGGAGGCGTGGGTTCGAATCCCACCGCTGCCACCAATGTAGTAGCTGGCCCTCGGAGACTATTTCACACACTCAAGCAAAGCACTCACTTTGTGGTTTCACGAATACTCGTTAGGACAGAATTATTAATTACACACTCGGCAAGTAAAGATAAGAAGTGAAAAAGCACAAGAAAAGAACAATGCAAGAAGACAAAACACACGGCGAACGGCAGCCATGTTCTTTAGGTCATCAACCAATGAGCAATCTATATAAACCGGTCGCCGACGAAATTCTAGAATATTCCAGAGCTGTGAACTGTGATTGGTTAATTATGCTAATGTTCTAGAACAATAACACTAGCAGCAGTCATACGGGTAAATACGGGTTTAGCCATACACGACTCATACATTACTCACGAGCGACTCACGGAAAGGGTAATAACATGCAGATACAAAATACGCAAGGAGAGAAAAATGTAACTAACTGCCCATCTTGGGGTTTGAACCTAGGAATCTGTATCAACACAAGCTCTGCAAATAAATACTCTTTTACTGCGAAAAATATACTTTCTATTAAAATGCAACTCCTACACATCCATGTTGCCATAGTATCATGTAATGGGGTGTATGCATAAAACATGGCCGCCACCTTCCTGAGGGGCAACTTGTCCCATATTTAATATTTGGCAGGTACAGGCAGTTGTAGTACATTAATTTTGTGGGTATGACCGTACACAGTTTATGACCTTTGATGCAGGATTGGTATCACAGTGTGTACCGTGTTAGTGGCCTTGCCCCTCAAGATCAAATGGCCGGAGTGTTATGCATAAGCTCCATTGAGTTACATTATTATGGTACGAGTTTACTGCGCTCGGTGAAATTCTAGCCATTTCGTTCTTCGCTGTGTGGTTCTTCGGCACCCGGCAGAGCTGGAAAGTCTTCTAGTGGTTTGAATGTTTGCTGTGCAAGGAGGATACAATACTTGCACAGTGTGCCAAATAATCCCCATTAAACCTACAGTGAAACCTGTATCTATAGACCACTGTGACTGGCGAACAGCCTGGTACTACAGACCACTTTGCCAGGCACGGACGGTCTCGCATTCATATACGGTTGTGCGATGCAAACCTCTGACTAAGGACCACCTGCCACTAAAGACCGTGTTCTCTGGCCCCAAGGGATGGTCGTTAGTTACAGGTTTTACTGTGTCACCATATCCGAGAATTGTAGATAATGGTGATGTGAAAGCGGGTCACCGGGAAGTACCCGGAGTACTTTTATAACAACAGTTGTGGACTTTTGAGCCATATCGGTTGGAGAACGCTGTGTGGCGGCTTCTTCGGAACAAAACCATTCTTAGGCTCAGCACCCGGTGAACGCTACATTGTCAACCTTTCAGCCTTGCAGTGCTTTCCGTAAAGACAGACCTGTATTGGCCTTCACGACTCCTCTCCCTGAAACAGGCTTTTGGCCTGCAAGATACGCAACTCACCGCCAAGTAAATGGGGCTGGCATGGGGTGAGATGCTGCTGGTAGAGCCTGCCATGCTCAACCGATCAGACATGTTTTCTGTCCTGCTTTTGTCGTATCCCTTGCAGGTGCTGAGAGGCACGTCCGCAAGCAGTCTCGTGCCCATCGACCAGCTGACGGTCTTGACGGATGAGCTAGTCGCCAACTACAACGATACAAAGGCCATCATGCCAGGAGCTATGTAAGCCTCGCCACACTGCATTGTTGTACAGAGTGGTCTCACACCGATCACATGACCATACACAGGCCAGCCGTGTTGGTTCCAACTCCACTCAACTCCTGCATCTATGGGTCACATGATGTCGGCCATGTTGGTTCCACTGTACACATGACATGATCACTTTCTGCTCAAATTTAGTCACATGACAAACTGATCTGAAATCACTCTATCAGTGGTGCTATAATTTCACAAGTTTTTTCGGTGTTTAATATTTTCTGCACTTTCAGTGCATCCCTATTATGGTGAAAAAGGAGAAGGACAAAATGTTACGAGTTATGACTAACTGTCCACCAACGTAACCAGATCTTATCTCTTAATTTGCTGGCCAAAAATCCTATATATAGGATTTGAAAATGTGTGCCTTTTATGCCGTTGTTATTGGTCATCACGACCAATGATAACGGCATAATGGTTTTCATGGAAGTTGTAAATATGTTTGAGGCATGAATGTTTACATTTTTAGATTCATAGGGCGATAATATTTCTGATGAATACCCATTTTCAGCAATAATTGTTCAGCTGCTGTCATGGAAAGGACTGAAGCAGCGAATGTGCAGAAGAACATTGCAGGTGTGGCACGGGGTGGACATATCGCACATGCCGTCATGAAACTACCAGTTTTAAGGATAAAACAAGGTCCAATAAAATCTCAATCCATATATAGGAATCGTAAAATAGGGCACAGGCCTTAGTAATATTGGGCAAGGAGATGAGCCTGAGATGTTAGTGTTTGAAAAAATTATCTTATTCAACTCTCGGTATCTACTAAGACCTAGCAAGGAAGATTTGGTCAAATATTTTTTGCTATTCTCATGCCACACCCATTTTGAGTTGAAAAATATGACCAAAATCCTGTATATAGGATTTAGCAAATTAAGAGATACAGTCAGCGAGCGCGACAGATGGTTACGTTGGCGGACAGTTAGTCATAACTCGTAACATTTTGTCCTTCTCCTTTTTCACCATAATTTAATTGGCTCACCATCCGAGTTCAACTTTGCATCCCTATTTTACCTACAGTAAAACCTGTAACTGAAGACTGCCGTGACTAGCGACCAGCCTGGTACTACAGACCACTTCGCCAGGCACGGACGGTCTCACTTCAAAATGATATGGTTGTGCGGTGCAAACCTCTAACTAAGGACCACCTGCCACTAAAGACCGCTTTCTCTGGCCCCAAGGGGTGGTCCTTAGTCACAGGTTTTACTGTATATTCCAATAGCCACAAACACTGACATACATCATCCCATAGGGATTGCTTCTGTGGACATGTACGAAAATTTCTGTTCACCTAGCATGGTCTTTTGCCGTATCTGTGTGTATACATGTGTGTATGTATGTTTATGTGTGTGTGTGTGTGTGTGTGTGTGTGTGTGTGTGTGTGTGTGTGTGTGTGTGTGTGTGTGTGTATGCGTGTGCACGCATGAATGCTTGCTTACACTTGCTCAACGTGACGGCGACCTAACAACAGGTACTACTACAGCGTTGAGACGTGCAATGGCCAGGCGCTAACATGCTCGCGCAGTCTACCGATTTCCGTTACCACCGCCTGCATCCCACCCATCGCGCCGACGAGTCTTCAAGCCAGCACCAGCACTGCCTACACTGTCACTCTCTCCTGGTTGCCGGTTACCGCCACAACGTACGGACGCATCACCGAGTATCGTCTGTTCCACTCCGACAGTGGACAGCGGGTAAGAGTGGTGGTTGTTATCTTGGCAATGCCCCCACACCCTCCCTCTTTTAACCTCCGAGCAACCAATGGCAACGGAACAAATTATACGTACACGCATATTCACACACACACACACACACACACACACACACACACACGCACGCACGCACGCACGTACACACACACACACACACCATGTTCTCAGTACGCCGATATTCATTCCAGTCGTGCTCTTCTTGACATGTGTATAAATGCGCCGTGCGTGTGTTTCAGGTCAGTGGCTGTTGTGATGCCAGCACCACCACCAAAACTGTAGAGGGCTTACAGCCACGGACATCCTACACATTTTCCGTCCAGGTACGTTAAAGTTCCATTTGAAAAGAGTTTAAACAAATTCACGGTTCGCGTGAGCCTTGGCTGGAGGCCTAGTTTGTCCGCATCCATAGGAATGCCACCACCCTCAGGACCAAGGCGCTGTAAATAAAATAAAAACTATTTAGCCCTGCTTTGTTCAAGTTAGTGGATTCATTAAATGCACCCACGGGTTTGTTCGTGGCGGACTGTAACGAAAATCGCTTCAATTATTAGTTACGGATACTCTCGTATAATTATGGTTCTTGTCTGGAAGAGTCCGATGTCTGATGTCGTCAAGAGTGCATAACACCCCCAGAGTGTGCAACGCCTGATCCAGCTCTGCATAGGGTCTTGGTCGAGCGCAGTCGGATCTTCTGATGTCATGCGTACACTTCACACCAGCGCAGGGCCGGTCTCGAGGCAGGGCTCCGCTGTCTTTGATCCGAGAGTACCCGCGACTCCCCGGGTTCCCCTCAGATGTGTACGGTATTATGACGCAAAGATCCGATTCCGCTCGGCCAAGACCCCATGCAGAGCTGGATCAGGCGTTGCACACTCTGGGGGGCTATGTACTGTTGATGCCGTGTACAATGGGTTCCCTGTACAAGCACATGTACAAGTACTGCAGGTTCATTGTACAGGTCTACCCCTAGATAGTACGACATCGGGTACAAGACCAACCTGATTAATGGACAATGGTCTAACTATTTCGCTCTACAATTCCCTGACACCTGAAACGCGTTCATTCGCGTCCGGATAGTGCATAACACTCCTTATAAGACAAACAATTCGAACCCTGGGGGGGGGGGGGGGGGGTGGTTGTCTACTAGGGAGGTTTAGTCCCACGTAATCCGTGGGTACTTTACGTGGGTGTACCACGTGATACTCAGTGACCCACGTACAGACGTTTTCTGATTCACGACATACCGTGTATGGAGGCTCACCCACGTTCCGCCAGAACGTGGGTGAAAATCAGAATGGAGCGCATTGTGCGAGCTGTGAGGGTGCTCAGCTGAAGAAGTTTCCGAAGCACGAAATCAAAATATTGGATGAGCTTCTTAGGCCGGGGTAGCTTCGTCTTTGACCAGGTTTTGGCCTTTAGCTTCATGCTTTTGTTTGTTCCGTGTGACTAAACACAACATTGCAACGTGGGTGCCCTTCATCCACTTTACGTGGATCACCCACGTACGCGTTTCCGTTACGTGGGAACTAAACCTCCCTATTAACGAGGGTAGACGGCCTGTAACTCTTTTTCTCAATCCTTGTCCGACAGGCGGCTACCTGTGACGGCCCGGGCGCGCTATCATCCAACGTCACCGTGGCAACCCTGGACGGTCCGCCGCCAAAGCCCACGATCCAGGACGTAAAGCTGACCTCGACAAGGCCACCCTCCGCCCTGATCACCTGGAACACAGCCGACCCAGCCACTCTACAGGGTACATTGCTGCCGTATAAGGTAGGTCGGTGAACGCGTACCTGGTGCTTCATGGTACACGAGGTTTTACATCTGGCACATGACCACACAGGACGGCCATGTTGGTTCCAACTCCACTCAACCCCTGCATCTATGGGTCACGTGATGTCGGCCATGTTGGTTCCACTGTACACATGACATGATCACTTTCTGCACAAATTTTGTCACATGACAAAACTAATGTTAGCACTACTCTATTCCGCGACGGAGCTGCGGCAAATGATAGGCTTTGGTCAAGAATGCACACTCCCGAACTGTCCAGGCCGTGGTCTCGCATTTAAATACCGGCTTGACGCAGTTGGTATGCAGTCAGTCTTGCTAATTGAGACCCACGATTGTCGAGCATGAGAAAAGTGCTATTTGTGATGAAAATGAGATAATGTTCTGATTGACAATGCCTGAATTCAGTGTCCCGTGCACTAATCCTGGCATGCTCCGCTCGTTACACACACATTGCATAGAGTCTAGTAATGCATGCAAGCAGGGGCAGCACAGCAAGGGCACAGACTGACAGCAAACAAACTGTGAGCTGCACTCTCTCTCGGAAAATACGATTTTTTCGGCAGTAAAGCAACTTGCTCTCTCTTTCTCTTTGTTTCTGTGCGTGCGTGCGTGTGTGTGTGTGTGTGTGTGTGTGTGTGTGTGTGTGTGTGTGTGTGTGTGTGTGTGTGTCTCTCTCTCTCTCTCTCTCTCTCTCTCTCTCTCTCTCTCTCATCCACACGCATGCTTGCACGTGCACCCCCCCCCCACACATAAACACCACAGGTCTGCAGAACGCCGGCATTCCCTAGCGGGCTGTGCAAAACAATGCCAAGGAGTTCCGTTCTCCAGTACGACGACAAGGAACTCTACGGCAGCAGCCCACCCCCGACAGACTGTCTCCTGTTTGACTACACGATTAGCGCTGTGACATCGTTTGGCGAGGTCAAGAGCGACTCAATATCTCTCAGTGCTCCGGGCGTTCCGCCGGGGGTTGCCTCGGTAACCGCTAGCGCTCTCTCGTCCACGCAGTTGCGCGTCACGTGGCCGGCGGTGATAATCTCCACCGGCTGTCGGATCAGTCGTTACCACGTGATGCGCGAAGTCGTGAGCCAGGGCGCCGCCAGTCAACAGTCCGTCTGCTGTACGGATGCACGAACAGAGTTCATCGACTCTGGCCTGCTCCCCGCCACGCGCTACAAGTACATGGTGAGCGCCGAAACCGACTACAACGTGTCGCGCTCAGTGCCCACGTCAGCCGAGGGGAGCACGGCCGAAGCCATGCCCGATCCGCCCAGCAACCTGCGTGTGTCGTTCATGAGCGCAATGCTGAACCTGCAATGGAACGGATCCAGCATTGTGCGCGGCGTGCTGATTGGCTACCGTGTCAGCCTGGACTCGGCGCTCTTGACAACACAGATACAGACGTCGTACAGCATTCCGCTATCCTCGCTACGAGGTGGCTGGAGCTACCTGCTCGCCGTGGCCACCGAGAACTCGGCCGGAGTCAGCATGCAGATGAATATCTCCGTGGTTACGCCAGTGAAAGCACCTCCGCCACCTCGTAGCGTGTTTGCCACGGCAACGGGTCATACGTCGATGGCCGTGACCTGGTTACGGCCCATGTATAATGGCAATGTCAGCAACTATCAAGTGCAGGTCTACCAGGATAGCGGTGAGTGTGTGTGTATGTGTGTGTGTGTGTGGGGGGGGGGGGGGGGTGCCAGCATGTGTGCGTGCGTGTGCATATGTGTGTCAGTGTGAGTGTGGTTGTGTGCGTGTAGCGAACGCATGAACCAGGAAAACAATGGGTGTGCAGGGCGAAGCCATCAATCATAGAGGACAGCATGGCAGATGACAATGGATGCGTTTGTTTCCCTTTCTCAGTATCATGTCACGGCTGTGTCTGTCCACTACAGCTCAGCTGATCACGGACACGTCTGTGCCTGGTGACCAGTATTTGTTCAACATTACCCGGCTTGTGAATGATGAGACGTACTATGCTGTCGTCACAGCCAAGTCCACGGCTGGAGACTCGACACCGGCGCAATCTTCCACGGAACGGTTGCCGGTACGTGTTCACAGTTGTGGGTTGCAACAAGAATTGGAGGGTGAAAGAAAGTGTTTTAAAGAAAAGAGTTTTCTGTTTATCGCTGAGTGCGTCAAACTCGGCGTAAAAACCCTTTTTTCCACCTCTTATGATTGTTTGAACTAGCTCTGCCTTTCGGTATTGAGCACCCTAATGGACAGCCTGGAACCTCTCTGTTTTCACACTTTATTCGGGCAAAGCAAACATAGTCGTTTCTGAAATGAGCAATATTCACTTCGTGCTCGGACCTCTCAGCGTGTGTGTGTGTGTGTGTGTGTGTGTGTGCACGTGTGTCCCATATAATGCAGTGGTACGTGCAGCGATTTCCAATCGATAGGTTGCGGGTTCGATTCCCGACGATTATGGTCACACACGTCTTTCTTCTCTTTCTCAGACTCTTCCTGACTTTTCTTTCATTCTCCTGGGTGGTTACCAACAGCCAGTGTATGCCGGAGTATGTGGTGTGGTGTGTGTGTAGAAAAAGAAAAAAGGAAAAAAAAGAAAAAAATGGAAAAATGAAAAATAGGGATTCACTGGCCAGAAAAAGTCACTTCAAACAGCTGTGTGGTGGATACCAGGCTAAAAATAGTGGCGGTCAATTCATCAGCCTTGCAAGCTGTTGAATGGTGTAATCCCAGCACAAGTTGCTATGTCTAAAACATAGCTGTTCGCTATCATCGCTCCCGCGATGGGCATGTCTGAGGTCTGAGGTGTGCACGTGTGTGTGTGCGCGTGCGTGTGTGTGTGTGTGTGTGTGTATGTGTGCGTGCGTGCATGTGTGTGTTGATGTGTGTATGTGTGTGTGTGCGCGCGCGCGCGTGTGTGTGTGTGTGTGTGTGTGTGTGTGTGTGTGTGTGTGTGTATGTGTGCGTGCGTGCATGTGTGTGTTGATGTGTGTATGTGTTTGTGTGTGTGTGTTGACTCTATGCAGTTGAGGCTTGCTGACATCGTACTTCCGAGGAGCTACAACCTCAGCGCCGTGGCCCGGACACAGTTCAGCCTGTTCGTCGCCTGGACAACCACAAACGACTCGGAAGTTAACAGGTATGTAGCTCACTATCAGCACCACGTGCACAATATCATCGTGACATCATCGCTGAAACGCTTTACTGCACGAAGTGTGTGATTTGCAGACGGAGAACAGAGTATGACATTGTCCGGAGTATAAGCCACACCCTCATCATAAAAGCCACCCTACTATCATCGTTAACTCGATCATCGGAGTATAAGCCGTGCACCCCTTTTTGGGGTGAATTTTTAGTGTTCAAAGTGCGGTGTATACTCCAGAGAATACGGTAATCATACCCCCCCCCCCCATTCCGTCTCATGCATCGCGTTTGTAGTGCAGCAGAATACGACCTCCCGGGCGGGGTTCGATTCCTACACACGGAGGGGTGCAGAGAACTCTACAGGGGGTTCCAATTTAGCCAAAACTGAATAGGTGCAGATGATACCGTAAAGTCCGCTGCAAACGCCCACTTCGCAGCAAACGCTCACCCCAGCGGGTCCATACTACTTCAAATTTTTTCGTCTTTTTCAGGTCAATATAGTTGTAGAAAGTTGGCATGAAGGTCGAATGCGTACGAGAACGACTGTAATGCCTACAAACTGCCTATGCCTATGTCACCAGGAGGCTCTGCAAAAGCGATTGTCACTATCTTGCTGCAAAGAAAACCTCGTTCGAGATATCCTTTCATGAGATAAATTAGTCGTCTTTGTAGTTCGTTCTCCATGTAGTGATGCCATAGAATCCATCTGGTTTTCGAATCATGAAATTTCTGCAGTGCCACGATGTCGCGCTTTTAGAACGGAACGGTGATTGTTCTGACGAAGCGTCAGTCAACGACCTGACCGTTCGCAATATTGCAGTTGTAAGTCGAACACTTAATTTCTTTACAGGGGGATGTCACAAAAGCTACACCTACAAAGTCACTGCTAACTTGTTGAAAACTCTGAAGTGCTTGAGAAAAACACTTGCCTTTGCGCTTTGTGTGATTTGGAAATGATGGCTTGAAACACCGTCAGAAGTGTATTTTGGTTGCTGCAATACTCTGTTCTTCGCTACTTTGTTATTGGGAAGAAACTCCCCAATGAGTTTGCGAAATAAAACAACCAACTTCATAAAATCGCTACTAGTACTAGCTAGCTCGTAGCTAGTGCTCAGCGAGATTTTGAACCAGGAAAGTGGACACAGTTTATCGTAGCAAAGCGCTCTTCGCGCTACAGTGTGAGATGCACTTTCGTACAGTAGGGGTGACAGTGCATGGGGTCAATGTGTACAGTACAGGCCAGCAGATCTTGCAATAATGGGGTGGGCGTTTGCAGCGGACTTTACGGTACACGTACCTGTACATGTACATTCATATGGTTTCCAGGTGTACATTTGCGAAATTTTGGGCGATTCTGCAGAACCCAGGAAATCGTTTTTTCAGGTCAACATTTTGACTGTAGCAATTGAAACTGCTGTAATTTCATGTGTTTTTTCCGTCATTTCTATAAGCCCAGTCTCAAATCTGTATCTGTCTCTCTGTCTGCCCGTTTGTCAATCGTGATCTGTCTTGTTGTCTGTGTGTGTGTGTGTGTGTGTGTGTGTGTGTGTGTGTGTGTGTCTCTCTCTCTCTCTCTCTCTCTCTCTCTCTCTCTCTCTCTTTCTCTCTCTCTCTCTCTCTCTCTCTCTCTCTCTCTCTCTCTCCTTCACAAACACACACGTACGGTACACAGGTACACGCTGACGCAGACAGCCGTATCGGGTGGCTCTCTTGGCACACCACTGGATGTATGTTGCTCGGCGAAGTGGAAGAGCTACGACGCCACAGGTCTTGCAGGCGATGCACAGTACCGCTTCACGCTGGGAGCTGTGCTTAGTAACGGCACCCAGGTCTTCAACCTAGGTAACGACGCCCGCTTCCCGTGTACACGCCCCGGTACCGGGTGTCAACACTCTTGTCCCATTTTCTAGCCCACCTCCGTGTAAACGCCCATGGGCGAAGAAAACAGGTCCGGTACACAGTACAGTGCATACACAGCTCCGTGCAAGTCGCTACTGTAGTATAACTTAGTGTACAGTGCACTGTGCTAACCTTATATGTAAATGTGGCAGTAAGGCATGATGGGAAAATAAGTCTGATTTCACTTATCGGAAAAAACACCCTGGGCATACACTAGTGTCCGTGCTGTCTGCATGTCTGTCTGTCTGTCTATTTATATTTCTCTCTCTCTCTCTCTATCTCTCTCTTTCTACTCTCTCTTCTCTCTCTCTCTCTCTCTCTCTCTCTCTCTCTCTCTCTCTCTCTCTCTCTCTCTCTCTCTCTCTCTCTCTCTCTCTCTCTCTCTCTCTCTCTCTCTTCCTCCCTCCCTTCTTTCAGCCACCACCGAGGAGCGTACTCTGCCCTCGTACCCGGGACAACCTGTTGGCTTGCAGTCCAGTTCAGTCACAGCCACGTCAGTCTCTCTGAGCTGGACACCGCCGACAGACGCTAACGGCGTGATCATCCGATACGAGGTGGCCGAAAGCGGCAACGTCGTGCGTCAGTCGTCGCAGGCATCCGTTGCCATTGACAACCTCGAGGCGTACCGCAACTACACGTTCCGAGTGCGTGCCGTCAACAAGGGTGTTCGCACCGGCGATTTGGCTGGTCTCTACAGCGCGCCGCTCCGTGTCGAAACCTCCGTTGCCAAGCCGACCGTGATTCCGTTCGTGCAGGCCGACAGCGTTTCCAAGACGTCGCTGTTCATCCGCTGGGCTGCGCCGGTGGCCGCTAACGGTCTGCTCAGCTCCTACCGTGTTGAGTACAGCGAGCGGCAGGAGAACGGTGCCTGTACGTTTGCCCTGGCCAGTACCGAGGCAATGGTGGTGGATGCCGCCAGCACCATCGCTGTGCCCAATAATCTCAAGGTATGTCCATATATCCCAGGGGCGTTTGACACGGTACGGTCACAACACTATTATTGTATTGACCGTACAGTGGTCCCTCTATAATCCGGCAGCATTTGTGCCACGGAAAATCTGCTGGATTAGGGAGGACGCTGGATTAACAAATCTGATTTACTGCTGCAATATGCATGAAGAGGACATTTGGCCTACTGAAAATTGTGCTGGTTTATCGAGGGTGCTGGTTATTAAAGTGCAGGATTAGAGAGGGACGACTGTACCACTCTTTGCGCCAGGCCCTCCCTTGATCAATCAAGAGCACTGTGCACTGGGCTCTTGTTTTCGAAAATGTTCGGCTCAGCCACTCCTCCCCCACAAGTAAAACGAGAGAGCTTGGAAGCTCCGGGCCCTACGCTATGCTTTATTCTTTAGCTCATCGTGCATGTTGTGAGAACTGATGGACATGTTTCCTGGGACGGCGCTGACTCTGCCGGTCACGGGCGTTTGGAGTCGACGGGATCTCTCTCTCTCGACGTTTCCTGTGACCGGCGCTGACTCGCCCGTTCACGTCTACTTTGGAGACGACGGGATCTCTCTTCCAAATTATGTTTTTGCTGACGCATGCTATCACCTATTCGGCAACTAACGTTCATTCTAATTTCATTTCCTCCTCGTCTCCCTATTTCTTTCCTGAAAGTCTCCCTATACATCAGGGAGTCGTACTGTATTGACAGCTACCCTAACGGGTCACGTCGCCCTCCACCCAAGCATGGCTATGATGAGGGACAGTGGCAACAGAAACAAAAAACAGCAAGCAGAGAGAGATAGCAAGAGAAAGACAGCGATAGTAGTACATCTGGTGTGCGGCGTATAGAAAAGAGAGATGACAAGAGATGCGCACAAAAATGGAAACAATAAGTATTTTTGCAGTTCCGAAACAATCAACCAGGTGATGGAGTGTGGGCACCCGAAGTCCCACCTGGACTCCACTGGAAGAACATCCCACGCAGGGATATCAGCGATAGGCCAAGCGTTGAAAAACAGCCATGAGGACACATCGTCTAGAAGTCCACCGCGCTCGAACTGAAATCGCAGGTTCAAACAATTTCCCACGCGTCGTCAGGCAACGTAACTCTTCTCCCTGCATCACCATCTATCTCCAGCAACCATCTCCACTCACAGCCCATGCCTCTGCCACCACTGTACTCCTTCGAGCTTTGCAGTTTGAAACCATTCGGGGGTCAGCTACACCACCGCGAATGGAGAGACGAGGATGACAACGGTCGTGACTGAAAAGACACTGCCTTGGCGACCGCGTCGCGGAACCCTCGCCCAACAAATTCAGAAACACGCCAGGGGCGACTCTGGTGGACCCAGAGCCACCCCCTTGGCAAGACTAGTAAGAGGAACAACTGAAAACCCAGATAAAACGGAGCTACAAAAAGTGCAACCGTCCCCTTCAAGCACAGTTGCAACACACAGGGAGTCGTATACATGTACATGATACGACCAATATTGTGGCCAGCTGGATGTGGCCAGCCGTGTTTGATGGTGCGGTACGGTACGGGACAGATACGGGAGCCAGCGAATGGCCAGCTGTGTTTGACGGTGCGATACGGTACGTGACAGATACGGGATAGCGCCAGGCGTGACACAAACAAACAAACAAACAAACAAACGCTAAACTATAGCTGTGTGGACCCTGGCTAGCGCCAGACGTTACTGAAGTAACGTCTTCTGCATAGCTACGGGAACGAGAGAGCTTGGAAGCTCAGGGCCCTACGCTATGCTTTTTTGCCTTGATGACCTAGACAAAAAAAAGCATAGGGATGTTATAAATTCTTTAAAAAATTCCTTTTTTTTAAGACATAACCTGGGATTCGAACCCGCACTATCGCGCCCTGCATGCATCCCCCGATACACTTCGCATACATACTAATTCTTCCAAGTTGCTTCACATTATGATCTTGCATTTGAAAGCCCTATTTGAATATGCATTGTGGCCAGCCGTCTTTGATGGTACGGTACGGTAGGGATAGGTACGAGACAGGTACGATCGAGGGTAATACGACACCGTCTCCCGTACCGTACCATCAAACACAGCTGGCCACATACAGCTGCCCGCAATATTCAAATAGGGCTTTCAAACGCAAGATCATAACGTGAAGCAACTTGGAAGAATGGGTATGAATGCGAAGTGTATGGGGGAATGCATGTAGGGCGATAGTGCGGGTTCGAATCCCAGGATATGCCTGAAAAAATAGGAGAATTGAAAAATTTATAACATCCCTATGATTTTTTTGCCGTCAGATACGGGATAGCGCCATGCGTGACACAAACAAACACACAAACAAATACCAAATTAAAGCTGTGTGGACCCTGGCTAGCGCCAGACGTTACTGAAGTAACGTCTTCTGCATAGCTACGGGAATAAATTGTACTTGAGGTGGGTGACCGTACCACACGACAAAATACCTTCCGAATCCACTGATGTTCTCTATGACTTAATTAAACTGTGCAGAATTAAACTCGGATACTCAGCCTGTTAGAAACTCAGAAAGAAGAAGATGTGTCGGAGCAAAGACCGGAAAACCCATGTGTTGCATCCACATGGAAGCTATCCTAAAAACATCAGGAAATTGAGAACACCACTCTGCGATCCCTTCGAGCTACAAATCCACACGCTTCAATCTCCAGAAAGCGGACACTTTTTTGAAATGAGACCAGCTTGGGCTAGTTGCGTTGGTTTCTGAAAATTCATACATGTCTGTACATCCAACTGATGATGTTTATGCGTGTTTGTTCATTTGCGTCTGTCCATACATGTCTGTTCATCTGGGCTGGTCTGTGTGTCATTCTGTGTGTCATTCTGTCTAAATTTCTGTCTCTCTGCCTGACCATCTGCCTGCGGTTGTTCATCCGCCTGTGTTTGTCCATCTGCGTCTGTCCATACGGGCCTGCTCATCTGTGCCCTTCTGTCTGTCTAACTTGTCTGTCTTCCTGCCCATCCGTCTGTGTTTGTCTGTCTGTCCACTTGCATGGTCGCTTGACCCCGCGTCTGCAGATTGCGCAGGAGTACTGCACTCGCGTGCGCAGCCGCAACAGCCAGTTCGACTCCGACTGGAGCAGTGTGGTCACCGCGGCAACGCGTAGCGACGACATCGTCTGCCCGGTGGTACAGACGGCCCCGCCGGTGGAGTGCCCCACGACGGACGGTCGGACCGTCGACATTGGCGGCAACCAGGGCAGCCTGACGCCCACATCGTCCTCGTCCACCGCCCTAGTAACCGTCATAATCCTGGCCATCATCGGTGCCGTGCTCGTGGCTATCCTGTCCGGCATCCTGTACCTGCAGCGGTCTCCGCTCAGCAAGAAAGCGCCGGGGGCATCGCTGGCCGTCGTTAAGCCGCGGGAGAATGGCGGTGACAGCTTCCTGGGCCCGAGCAGCATGCCGACCGTAGGTAGCCAGAAGACACCGCTGGGATACGCGCCGTCAGCAAGCACCCTGGCGTCACTAGCCGGTCCAACGGCGTCGTTGCCTAGGGAACCGCCGATCCTGGAGATGCAGCCGATGCTGGCGGCGGCCGACAAAGACGTGGACGCGGACGAGGACTACGAAGCCATGCCCGTGGATGTACGTCACGTCGATCCCAACGTCCTCAGCATGGTGCAGAACCCCGGCGAGGCAACCGCCCCGGACCCGTTCACATCAAGCGGCCTGGAATCGAAAGAAGCTGTGGCGGACGACTACCTCGAACCCAGTCAAATGCCCGCCATTGGCAAAGGTGCCCCCAACGACGGTGGCAATGCATCCCGCGAGGATGGTCCCACCGCTGAGAACGCTGCGGAGACGACTAGCACCGGCAATGACAACGTCGTTGGTAGCGCGGCCAGTGGTGATGGTGATGGTGCGGATCAGACAAATGACGGCGGCGGTGACTACATGAACACCGTGCTGCACGCTGCCGTCGACAGCAGCGCCCCTGCGGCCACCGCCAGCGCGTCCAGCCTCACTGCCGGCGGGTTGGAGCGCGAGCGCGTGGACAGCGTGCTGTACACGAAGCCGAAGCGCGACCGCCAGGTATCCGTCAACAGCGAAATGTCGGACGAAGCACGCCTCTTCCGACCCTCAAGTCAGGACGTCTAATTGAGCCACCAACATGTCACATGACACGCTGTGAACGTGAATTTGACTTATCAACTATTTTGGCGCCAAATCTGTTTTGTTTCCCTGTAACCCCGGCAACAGAGATGGCCAGATTTTTTCTAAGGCAAGTGCTTCATGGATTTGTTCAGAGCCTCCGGTACACAATGGCGCACCGCGTCTATTTAGCATGGCTGGTTTCCATGGCAATAGACGTGTGAGCGGCGTGCCGCGTGCAGCTGGAGGAAATTGAGTTTTCCCGTTTTACTACTTGTCCGTAAACTGATATTGGTGCACTGTCTCTCCGTCTCCCTCTGGCTCTGTCTTCTATCTAGCCACCCACATATCTATCTATCTATTGCACTCATGCTTATGCGCCTGTGCGTGGCTAACGAATGTCAGTATACTATTTCTTTAGTGCCTTCCTGTTGTGTTGACGTGAGCACATCGACGCGTTCGTATCATATTACTGGAGTGAAGGCGCTGGCTTGAGAACACTGAATCCTCGTTAGGCGTGTGCACTGATGATTTGGGCTGTGCCCGAGATTTCAACCAGCGACCTTTTTTTGGGTTTTGTTTTGATTTCTCCTTAAACATCGGACAGGCCATTTTTTTATATTTTCGGAATACTTCGTTATTTTCATGAGAGTGTGTACTGTGCATGCATACAAGTTTGGGCTGGTCAGATATTTCAGCTAGTATTAAAGCATGATGACCTCGGCTTAAGATATAGTTTCGCACCGCTGGCAGACTAGTCTCTGTTCTATTTTCGCATCTTTTTCTGCCATTTTGTCACAAATTGATTAGAAGTACCGTATAAATATAAATTTTCGTGCCCCCTAACGAATATTTCGAAAGTTGGCCGGTGTTCTCACTGTGCTATGAGATGCTGTAATAAATAAATAATAATAAATAAGTTAATTCCAAACGAAAATTGCACTAAGGCCATGGTAAACATTATCTTTGATTCTCAAGTACGCGCGCACCGATTTTTGGCGGCGCGCCGACGATTTTTGTGGGTCAGAGACCCCGTTTTGAAGGTCCCTTTAGCAGTCGTCTTAGACGGGTTTAACTGCATCCATTAGTACTCACAAATCAGCTACTGTTCCATGTAGGGAGTCTGACTCTCTGGTACCAAGTGGTGTCCTTATCCAGGGACATTTGACTGGAAATACCAATCCTTGGTCCTGGTTTCTGTGGTCTTTTAGGACAGGTGGTCGCCTTATCCAAGTGGTCGCCTTTGACAGGTTCGACAGTAGTATCATTTTTTTATTTCAATGGCCACCCACATTATTATATTGCTGCATCTGCCGCTAGTATGTTCTGGCCGCTAGGATGCTCCGGGTGTTAGCGGCCGTCGTGACTTAACTTCAGTTTCTTTGGTTGTATCCTTTCGTTCCGTATTTTTTCCCACATGATAGGAACGAGAAAATCGATTCTGGGTTTCAATAATATTATTGTTATAAAATACACATACACATACATGTCGAACAAGTAACGTAGTTGCGTGATGTCCGCGGCCTTCATCCGATTCATAGCTATAACAAAGGGACCTCGTGTATATGTATAATATAACCTAACCAGTTGATTATAATTATGGGAAATATAAACCTGTATACAAACCGAGGCGAAGCCGAGGTTTGTATATTGGTTTATATTTCCCATATAATCAACTGAGTAGGTTATATTATGCTTATACTGAGCTGATATACAAACTCCCCTCTCCCCCACAAGGGTAGAGATTGGCACAACCATGGCTCGACGAGTTTTCCTTTCACCAACCTGTAGCTGTGCGGATCAAGTACAAGACTACCACTGACTCTGTGCAGTACATGCAGTGCAGTACCATCACACACTCTTTGTGACTTCAGTTCAGTACTGAAGTACTAGTTACATCGGAAGTAACAGCTATGCGCCAAGTAAGTAGTTAGTTTGAAGCTCACAGTGCTAGTGACCGTTCGTTGGGTCTTCAGCCGCACATGTCGAGTGCTGCGTTTGACAGACGGAGTGCTGAAACAGCGACAGAAGGACAGCCTCGAACGTCAGGTGCAGCACAAGGCACATGTTACAAAGGACGACGTTGTATTCTTCATCGTTGACGGGAAAGAGATCCTGAAGTTGGGACCGTCGTGCATGTCGAAAAACCATCAAGGCGGACTGCAGGTCACTAGTATAATCCGAAAAAAAGGAGTTTATATACCAGTTTATCACTCTCTTATTATTGACCCCCACAGAAACTTGTGATCTCTAAGGGCGCGGTCACACATGCACTGGGATAGACCGATCCCCTTATTATTGTCTGGGTTCGAGCAAGGGGGCAACTCCGCAGTCGCGTGGGATCCTGCTGCACACACGCGACCAACCTCACCTCGGCTTTGCGTGACTTCTCGCATGCGAAGTGCAGAGCACGCGAAATCTACACGCAGTGCAAGCCTGTCTACAAAAAATGCCACAAGGACTTTTGATTTGAGCTGTTTTGTTTTTGTTTAGACGTCTTCCTTTTTACGACTTCAGGATGCCTTCTCAGGATCATTGCTGCGTTCCTCACTGTCAGAACAGGAGGACGAAGCAAGCAAGTCATTTCACTCCTTTCGTCGTGTGGAGCCACAGCGGCCTGGAGCAAGCGGATCCAGGCTATTCCCCGTGAGGAAGGACGTAGTTTTAGGGTCACTCTGAATATTTGAGATGCAGCGATCATTTCGATCCCGAAGTCGAAATCGTTTTGCCCAGCTCTACAAGGGCAGGACTGTGAGTCCAGGAAAACAAACAGCTGTCCTACGGTACCAGGTTTGCTTTTCGCAAGAGAGTGGAGTCTGGACGCTCTGCTCCCTATGCTCGCAAAACAGTATTTGCTGAGCCTAGTGCAGTTCGGTCATGGAAGTGCAGCGTCTGCATCACGAGCTCCCCATGCTCGCAAACCAGTATTTTGCTGAGAGGCAACGGCATTTTGAGTTGGAAAGGAACCTGGCTTAGTGCAGTTTGGTCCTGTAATGGAAGTGCAACATCTGCATCAGGAGTTGGCAGCAAGTAGAGCTCGTGTACAGAGTCTCGTGGAGCAGTTGGACGATGGGGTGAAGAAAGCCGAAAAACAGCTTACGTACAATAACATAAAGAAAGACTCTGAGCCGCGCCAGTTTCTGACTGGTTTGCCTTCAGGTGTTTGGACCGCTCTGTGAGACTTCTTTGAGCCTAGCCGAGAAAATGTACTGCGCCGAGCCAGATCTGCGAAGACGGAAGCTGAGTGAGGGACGGCGGATACAGTTGGAGGTGGCCGTAAATCGCCAATGAGCATGTAATGGAGGATCAGCTGCTATTGGCATTGATGTGTCTAAGCCTGGGCCGAACGGGACAGAAGCTGTCATGCATGGCACAAGTTAATCATCCGTTTCACGGTATATACTATATAGCTAGCTGAGCTGGAAAGACGTCTTGTTCCTCCGTTTGGGCATGATCCCCATTTGGGCGAGCTGGCGAGATGTTCAGTCATCAATGCCATGTACCGCAAGACATTCTGCATTGTGGATGAAACAGTTCTATTTTGCCATGCACTTAGGGTTCTCGCACCGGCACAAAAGGACCCAACAGATCCTTGCGCTCTTATTTTCTCCCATGGTAACATTGCTGATCACAACACCCGGTAGCCAGTCGCAGATGCAACCAAATCAACCAGGTTCTCTTACTCTTTTTTTCCAATACTGAAACCAAAGGTATACCAATATTTGCATCGAATGCAGTGATGATTTCAATACTGTCCACTAGTACAACGCATTACCAGACTGGCATATAAGGCCAAGTAAAAAAAAAAAGCTAGATGATCGTCCCCGTCCGCCCCAGTTTTTGTCAGCGCCCCAAGAAATATTTTATTTTTTAAATCGTGAGTTTTTGCCGAAATCGTTGGTTTTTTTACCGATCGCGGATGCAGGAAACATGTGCAATACTTTCTTTACTATATGGACCACATACTACTAGTATATCACAACGTCAGTATCGATCTGCTGAAGAAAGAAAAAGAAAAAAAGAAAAAAAAAGAAAAAAAGAGAAAAAAAACCTTGATGTTGTTGTGTACACTGTGTGCATGAGAGGGTAAAAAGTAAAAAAATAAAAATAAAATCCTCCCGCCCTCCCCGATTTTTCCAAAAAAAAGGACGATCATCTAGTAATTTTTTTTACTCGGCCTAATCATGATAATATTATCCATTTCGCAATCACTGTCATTGCTTTCTTAGATCTTCAATCATCAATATCGGACCATAAACCGTCTATCATCTTCTATTATATCATCATTAGTATCCTGCTACTATCCTCCTCTAACGATGAGCTCGAAAAAAAGAAACAGCGGTCTAGAGGCGTAAACAATATCTGTCAACGGAAGTGTCCTTGCTGTGCTGGTGTGTTTATGCTTCGTGCATTAGTTCGGCCAAGAGCGCATGGTGGTGGCGGGTTGAGGATGTTAAATATACTAGAAAATAGTTCACTCTGAACGTGCAGGGGGTATATTCATAGGTTCGAAAGAACCGCACACACACTTTGCTGCAGACAGCGGCAAGCTTTGGCCCTCGTGCTTCGAAGAGGGAGCAATCCACTGCGCTACGCTTGCGATTAACAGCAAGCTTCGACTTTTCAAAGGTACGACTCATCATTGGCTCTGGGGTAATGTTCCTGGAACAAATGCCCCATAGCCAACTGAGGGCCAGGGAGCACGCAATCTGCCTTCCTGGGCGAGAAGTGTTCCAGCACAAGAAGCAGCACGAATACATGCTGACAAAGACCACCATCACCACCAGCCGGCACACAGCACACTGTTCTTCAAACACCATCCACCCCGTCCATGTGTTTGCACTGTCCTCCTCTAGCTCTTCACGCTCAACAAATAACACGCACTGCTCATCGTTTTTTGTTATGCTTCCTCTGGGTTGGCTAGCCCTTCGACTTGACAAAACAGCGATCACCACTGCACTGCTATCGTCACCTCATAGCAGTCGCTTCCACCAGTGGCTTTTCCTGTCTTTGCAAGGTGTCCAAGGATGGCTGCTGTTGTCACTACAGGCAAATCAGAAGTACTTTAGTGGCTGATGTCCAACCAGATCGTTGGAAAATCGATTTTTCCACTTCAGGGCTGCTGATCGCGACTTGGTGACTTGGCAGCACCACGGTTACCTTCATAGAAGATGGCTCTGGAGAGGAAAAGACAGACCAGAAAAAGGTTACTATTATCTTCAGCACCGATCACAAGGAGAAAGAAATATGGTCTGCTGTAGCCTAGGCACAAAATAAATCTCACAACACGATTCGCGATTCGAATATTTCAACAAAAAAACTCACCTCTGGAGTAACTCCTGTTTGTGGCCCGAGATCGTTCCCTCCCGCGCCTTGAAAAAATCCTGCAGCGGCATCACAGTCCAAGTCTCTCTCGGAGACTCTGCTCCTACCAGCAGGAGGTTTAGCACCGCTCGAAGCCATCGCAAACTACTTGAACTAAGCAGAAGACATTCCAAAACAAACCTGAAACACACTGTCAAAGATGCTGTCACGTTCAAAAACTAGCTCGATCGCGAGTGAGGTTGCCCCCGTGCTCGAACCCAGTATAATAAGGGGATCGGTCTATTCGCTTCGGCGACGAGGTTCGGCGTCAGCGAGCCTGGTGTCGCTCCAGCGAAACCACGTGTGTACTATGGTCACACATACAGACAGGGCACAACTCCTACTTTGGCGGAAAATGAGACTGTGGTGCATACGGTACGGAGAATGGACGAGGTCAATGACTATCTTGCACGCATTTCTGTTGCATGGACATCATACGCATACAAATTTCTCGTAGCAAGTCCATTATACAGCAGACCGTGGTGTTTTCCGCTGAAGCGAATCCGCAGAAGCGACAGTCTCGCTTCGAAAATTTTGGAGGAAGCGGATTGGAGTTTCCGCTGAAGCGGAAGTTCCGCTTTTCGCCGTTGCCATGCCATTTTTCGCTCCTGCGACCTCGCTTCAGCGTATACGCTACTTTCGAGTGCATGTGTGACCGGGCCCTAGCTAGTAAGGGCCCGGTCACACATGCACTCGAAAGTGGCGTATACGCTGAAGCGAGGTCGCAGAAGCGAAAAATGGCATGGCAACGGCGAAAAGCGGAACTTCCGCTTCAGCGGAAACTCCAATCCGCTTCCTCCAAAATTTTCGAAGCGAGACTGTCGCTTCTGCGGATTCGCTTCAGCGGAAAACACCACGGTCTGCTGTATATGGACTTGCTACGAGAAATTTGTATGCGTATGATTTCCATGCAACAAAAATGCGTGCAAGATATTCATTGACCTCGTCTATTCTCCGTACCGTATGTACCACAGTCCACTTTACTCTCATTTTCCGCCAAAGTAGGAGTTGTGCCCTGTTTGCATGTGTGACCATACACACGTGGTTTCGCTGGAGCGACACCAGGTTCGCTGCCGCCGAACCTCGTCGCCGAAGCGAAACCCCAATGCATGTGTGACCGGGCCCTAAGGGCCCGGTCACACATGCACTGGGATTCGCTTCGGCGACGAGGTTCGGCGGCAGCGAGCCTGGTGTCGCTCCAGCGAAACCACGTGTGTGTGGTCACACATACAAACAGGGCACAACTCCTACTTTGCAATTTGGCGGAAAATGAGACTGTGGTGCATACGGTACGGAGAATAGACGAGGTCAATGACTATCTCGCACGCATTTCTGTTGCATGGACATCATACGCATACATGTACAAATTTCTCGTAGCAAGTCCATATACAGCAGACCGTGGTGTTTTCCGCTGAAGCGAATCCGCAGAAGCGACAGTCTCGCTTCAAAAATTTTGGAGGAAGCGGATTGGAGTTTCCGCTGAAGCGGAAGTTCCGCTTTTCGCCGTTGCCATGCCATTTTTCGCTCCTGCGACCTCGCTTCAGCGTATACGCTACTTTCGAGTGCATGTGTGACCGGGCCCTAGCTAGTAAGGGCCCGGTCACACATGCACTCGAAAGTGGCGTATACGCTGAAGCGAGGTCGCAGAAGCGAAAAATGGCATGGCAACGGCGAAAAGCGGAACTTCCGCTTCAGCGGAAACTCCAATCCGCTTCCTCCAAAATTTTCGAAGCGAGACTGTCGCTTCTGCGGATTCGCTTCAGCGGAAAACACCACGGTCTGCTGTATATGGACTTGCTACGAGAAATTTGTATGCGTATGATTTCCATGCAACAAAAATGCGTGCAAGATATTCATTGACCTCGTCTATTCTCCGTACCGTATGTACCACAGTCCACTTTACTCTCATTTTCCGCCAAAGTAGGAGTTGTGCCCTGTTTGCATGTGTGACCATACACACGTGGTTTCGCTGGAGCGACACCAGGTTCGCTGCCGCCGAACCTCGTCGCCGAAGCGAAACCCCAATGCATGTGTGACCGGGCCCTAAGGGCCCGGTCACACATGCACTGGGATTCGCTTCGGCGACGAGGTTCGGCGGCAGCGAGCCTGGTGTCGCTCCAGCGAAACCACGTGTGTGTGGTCACACATACAAACAGGGCACAACTCCTACTTTGCAATTTGGCGGAAAATGAGACTGTGGTGCATACGGTACGGAGAATAGACGAGGTCAATGACTATCTCGCACGCATTTCTGTTGCATGGACATCATACGCATACATGTACAAATTTCTCGTAGCAAGTCCATATACAGCAGACCGTGGTGTTTTCCGCTGAAGCGAATCCGCAGAAGCGACAGTCTCGCTTCAAAAATTTTGGAGGAAGCGGATTGGAGTTTCCGCTGAAGCGGAAGTTCCGCTTTTCGCCGTTGCCATGCCATTTTTCGCTCCTGCGACCTCGCTTCAGCGTATACGCTACTTTCGAGTGCATGTGTGACTAGGGCCTGGTCAGACTGCGGCAAATTTTGGTTGCCTGACGAAAACAGAACAGCGTCCAGAATTTGAATCGCGATCACACTACACATGTGGGGAGAGTGAAAATTCAAACTTCATTTCGAGCGTCAAGTGGTAATCTCCACGAACGACGTCAAATTCCTTCACCTTGGGGATCGCCAACACCTTCAGTGCAATCCTTGCAACCATCCTTATGAGTTTTGTTGTTGTCCGTGGCCAATTAGCTCTTCGATATCGAGATGAAAAAATCAGTGATTATCAGCGTCAATGGCGTATCAGCGTCAAATCCTGTTTGGAGCGGAAAAGCGTGCTCCGTTCTTGCTTTTTTTTTGGAGCGTCAACTCTCGCTTTTGCCGCTCTGGCGGCAAGTTACTATGGAGATTCGGATTATAATCCTAGGATTATTTCGATTTTGCCGCAGTCTGACCAGGCCCTAAATTAGCGGTCAAATATCAGCATATATTGACCGCTTATATTGACCACTTATTATTGACCACTTTATAGCCCAAGGACTTAGAACTTTTTCCTCAACTTAGAAATTTTTTATTTATTTTTTTTTTAGTCATGATACAGATAGTACTTAGAAAAAAATCAGAACTGAAAGAAGAAAAATCTGAAGCCAAATGCTGGGATTTGAACCCAAACTTTCAGATTCTCAGTCAAAGAACTTGGGGAACATACTACAAGAGACAACTGAAAACTTCGGTTTACACAGAAGTAATGTCCAATGTAAACGGCATATGTACATACTATTATACTATTACAATAGCATTCCTTTCTTCCTATAGCAAAGCAAAAACAGTTTTAGGTATGCTATGTCGTGATAAATCTATTATTGCCCTCATAATCGGTCAATATATGAAATATAGACCTCGTAAAAGACCTCGGGGGACCTCGGTCTTTTACTCGTTCTATATTTCATATATTAGGGAGGTTTAGTTCCCACGTAACGGAAACGCGTACGTGGGTGATCCACGTAAAGTGGACGAAGGGCACCCACGTTGCAATGTTGTGTTTAGTCACACGGAACAAACAAAAGCATGAAGCGAAAGGCCAAAACCTGGTCAAAGACGAAGCTACCCCGGCCTAAGAAGCTCATCCAATATTTTGATTTCGTGCTTCGGAAACTTATTCAGCTGAGCACCCTCACAGCTCGCACAATGCGCTCCATTCTGATTTTCACCCACGTTCTGGCGGAACGTGGGTGAGCCTCCATACACGGTATGTCGTGAATCAGAAAACGTCTGTACGTGGGTCACTGAGTATCACGTGGTGCACCCACGTAAAGTACCCACGTATTACGTGGGACTAAACCTCCCTATTGACCTCTTTAATCGTGCAATAATAGATACTTATACACCAGTTTATATGTATAGATTATAGACCGGTTAGGAGGTCTATACAGGATATATAGACCGAGTAAAAGACCGAGGTCCCCCGAGGTCTTTTACGAGGTCTATATATCCTGTATAGACCAACTATGAGGTCTATAATCTATTTATCGTGTTCTCCACGCAATAGTTTCTCTTCATATACGACATATCCTTGTAATTCTAGTATTATACTATAGCCTATACCGCATTGTACTGCATTGAAAGTCAAGATCATTGTTTAAACTAGGATCAGCATCGGTAGCACAGTGGCTGGGTGGTAAGGAAGAGTGACTGAGATTCACAAGGTTGTGGGTTCAAATCCCATCTTGTGTATTTCTGCTTTCTTCAAAAATTTCTTTTTCTAAGTTGGAGAGAAAATTTCTAAGTCCAAGAAGTTCTAAGGAGTCAAATATAAGTAGTCAAATATATCATATATCATGTATTTGACAAATACGCGATATATTTGACCGCTTAGGTATCAGGGAAATTAGTGGGGTCAAATACTAAGAAGGCGATAAACCAGTTTATATACCAGTTTATATTCTCGTCATCGAAGTACCTGTTAAATGCAAAATACAAGTCTGGAGTGGTGTGTGGGGAGAGATGGGAGTTTGTATACAAGCTCAGTATAACGAGATATATACACCCCTACATGGTTACTTCCCCTTGTCTAACCCCCCAAGACGAAAATTAATGATAGTAGCCGACTGGCCGAAATTGTGTATATATCTCTATATACACTCGTTTCCTTATAGGGTACCTCACTTCAAACTCTCCAACTACGGTCTCTTCGCTGCATACGTTCACTTCACTTCCAAAAAAACCAAATAGTATTAGATATAAATGGAATGCACCAAATTTTCGGGCCTGGCCCATCTTCAGGGTGAAAAAAAACCCCATTCAACCCATTCAACTCGGTTCCTTGTTATAATTACTTGAAGTATTATTATTAGGTATTAGTCATACCTAGTATCTGTGCTGCGAAGACAGTGCCACTTCCCGCAGGGCACTGACCTGTCAACGGCCAGTTCTCGTCTGTCAAGATCGAGAATATTAATTTTTCATATGTGGCACTGGCAGGTCACGGTTCGAAGCTCTGTACATTACTCAATCCAATCACACACAGTATTCAAGTCTGTCAGGCTTTCCGGGAAGGGCTTTCCCGACATTGCGTTTAGAGAGCGCTCCACTTCGGGTTCTTGTTGTGCTTGAAGTTGCACGAGTATGAATGGCGGCCAAAATTACAATTATTAGTCTGGCGTGTCTGCAGTGATTGCCCCCACTTGTGTGGAGTCTGAACTAACCGTTAGACTTGCATGGTGTTGCTATCTCGCTTGCACGGCAGAGTGTGGACTGGCTTTAGACGGGAGTCGAATGCATTAATGTAAGTTTCTGAACTCTCTTCTACCAAAGGACGGTTTGCTCCTGTCCTTTAGAATATTCACCTGATGTGGGTTTTGTTTATGAATGCTGTGTTGGTAGCAATCCGCGCGACTTGCAGCCGCATTTCATGGCCGCCAAAAACACCACACGGTGTCCACTTCTAAACTAAATTAAAAACTCTGCACGCAGTTCTCTGTCAATGTGATCTGTACATCATTGGCTTCATTCAGACTTGATAGAACGCGTGGTCTTCGGTATGTACAGTCATGTGCAATGAAGAGCGTTAGATCAATTTCATTTGCACCACAATACTAAGAGTACAGATCCATTGATGATACTGTACCATTCTCGAAATCATGACAACCTTAGCCTTAGGCCTGTTGTTTCGTATTCCAGTCCTTGTGATTGACGTCGTGAACGGAGTGCCGCAAAGCGAAGATGAAAAGAGGCAGGAGGAATTTACTAAAGGGAAAACAAATAATTCTGGAGGCTCATTGCAAGGCCGCGTGCACATTTCTAAAAATGTCAATCTTCGTTGCAGCAATCAGGCTTCATTCTAGAGCCTTACAACTGAGCGTTCATTAAACGTGCACATTCCTACCCAGCTTTTATCGTCAATAATATTCTGCGGCGGTGTTGCTGGCGGTCAATCTGCTCGTGCCTCTAGCTCTGTGTTCTGTTTTCACTCCCAAATCACACGACTGCCGCGCTGTAGCACACTGTATGTATAAACTATAATTATGACTGTTGTTCGTTGACAGCATGTAACAAGGCCGGTGGGCACCGTGTTCGAAAACACAGTGACCTTTCTACAACCATCCACGGTTGGTAGAGCTAGGGTCCCGGTCGGTTGCGACCATCTGAACCGTGTGGGTGTTAGACCCGGTTCTGACTCTCTCTATTCTAGGGGAGTTGTTTCAGACGTCTCGTACCGTCAGTCTTGACTCTTGTATTCTGTGATCGCTCCTGGATGTCTTCTTCATGCTCATAAACTTAGTAGCAACTTGTATTTGTATTCTGAGTTGTTTTTCTTTCTTTTTTAACTCTTTTTCTCTTTCTTCCAACTTCTGCCCATGGCGTGCCTCTTTCAGCTCGTCAGCTGACAACAGTCACTATTCTCACTAATACCACAATGTACGATCATCGTCATTTAGTTTGTACAATGTCAATGGCCATGTACATGCCATGTTGCTGGCAGTCAATCTGTTCGTGCCTCCGTGTTCTGTTTTCACCCCCAAATCATACGGGTGCTGCCCTGCACATGTATTTGTTGCTGTCAGTCAATCTGTTCTTGCCTCCATGTTCTGTTCTCACCCCCAATGGCCCGAATCATACGAGTGCTGCACTGTAGTGTAGTACGCTGTATTTGTTTCCATTTATGGACCGGTGGATTCTGCTCGAAAAGGTGGCAGATTCTGCTCGAAAAGCAGTGAAATTGACAGAACCACACAAACCTTATGGCGGGCAATTCCTCGAATTCTGCTCCATTTTTTTATCCACATACCAGAAAAAATACCGAATTCTGCCTGTCGTTTTCTCACGGCAGAATCCGCCGGACTTTCCACTGCAGTAGCTGATTTGTGGGCAAGTTTTCATTTTGATTTCAACGTCGAGTATCATCCCTAGTATCTTTGGTGTTCTTCCTTCTTTCCATGTCGTATTGTTTGAATAAGCCTGTTTTGAGAGCTGATTTGTGAGTAATGATGGATGCCCGTATTTGAGGGGTGCAGTGAAACCTGTCTAAGACGAACGCTCAAGGGACCTCCTTATCCAGGGTCATTTGACTGGAAATAGCATCCCTTTGTCCCGGTTTCTGTGGTCTTTCAGGACAGGTGGTCGCCTTATCCAAGTGGTCGCCGTTGACAGGTTTTACTGTAATTATAATTTTTTTTTAATGGCCACCCACATCATTATATTGGCGCTGCATCTGCCGCTAGTATGTTCTGGCCACTAGGATGCTCCTGGTATTAGCGGCCGTCGTGAGTTCCCTCGCGAACGGAGGCGAAAATTGTTCTATTTTTCTTCGCTTTTAAATGTAGGTACCACCAGGATGTCAGATAACCACACTGACCGGATCCTGCAGAAATGGTACACAAACCTCCGTCAGATGAGAGTGACAAAGAATCTGCTCGAAGCATTGTGCGGCAAACAGGTGATTGACGACGACGACAAAGGAAACATATTGAAGACTGAAGCAGGCCATGACAGACCCGAACTGGCAAAGGTAGAAGCAATCACTGTACATGTGCATGACTGTACTTATAATAATTATTGCACTCCATAAAAGCTCAGGAAATAAATTTCAGTGAGCAGAAACACGCACTCCAATCTAATACACAAATGAACACTCTATGGGATTTACATATTGGTATGAACCTCCTATGTTTCAGGGTACCCTGTAAGAAGGCCTTGGGCCTGTGGGGATTGCCCTATCAAAATTTCAGATAGTAATAGATAAAGTTTTCGGGAAGACCGCCACAACACAAATTCCCGCTGGTATTCCTTTAAACGAAAATAATCTTCGACGTTTCTGTCTAGCACCATCATCTACTGTATTCAGGAACGGATTCTGAACCCACTTTTACTAGTAAAAACAAACTATTTTTCGCCAATAAGTGCAGGGAAGAACAGTCCTCGGGTCCCTCATACATGCAGGTAATGCTCAGACAATTTCCGCGAATACTTCCGATGTCATTTTCGCCAGGTGAAAATACAGGCGGAACAGAAACGGAACAAGGACAAGGAATTCTACACAGATGAGCGTTTTTGAACACGAAACTCGGAGTAACGAGAAAACCTTTTGGTCTCTGTTGTTCTGCCTTGTGAAGTACGCTCTGCCCTTGTTAAACATGGGCATATTTGTGCAATCATGATAATGTATTTATGGATTTTCCACGGGCTTCACGGATTGGCTCAGATGCATGCTAAGCTTTTCGCTAGCCAGGTCTGCTATTCGCTGTGTCCGTGGATCACGCTCAATTCGCCGCCGTCACTTTGACCATGCCTCTGTCGACCTGGTCCGAGCAGAGGCACAGCTGGTGGTCAGCTAGACAGTTGTCATCATGTTTAATTTCTTTAGTTCTCAATCTATCATTTTCATGCCAGGCGTGAGCCAGCCCCTGGCTTAACAAAATGGGTGCTCCTTTTTAGTTTAGTTTTCTTCCTTTTAGTTTAGTTTTTCTTCTCTTCTTCTTTTTATTTTGCTTTGCCCGTACAAGAGGCCGAGGCTTACTTCTCCTGTTCAAAAAAAAATGTATAAACACTTACGCCCTTGGCAACACACGCAACCAGTATGTGTACTGCAGTAAACTATTGTTGTTGTAATGAGCTTATTACAGTACTACT